CTGTGCCTGTGCTGGGAGGAATGGGCTGAGGAAGGCAGGGGTGGCCCAGAAAGTTCCACGAAGGGCCCAGGGCCAAGTTCAATTATATAATTAATTGAATATTTATTGAGCATCTGCTCGGTGACGGGGGGAGGGGGTGCTGAATTAGAAAGGGGCCTGGATTGGGTGCCAGGTGGGTCCTCTCCCTTCCCCGCCCACTAAGTAGCTGTGTGGTCGGGCAAATCACCTCACAGCTCGGGGCCTCAGTTTCTCCATCTGTAACATGGAGGGTGAGCCCATCACCCTAGGGTTGTGGGAGCATCAGTGAGATGAGGCTTTATGTGGGAGAGCCTGCTCCCAGCTGAGCTGCAGAAGGAGACCTGAGCCCAGCAGCCTTTCCCATCGGCCCTGGGCCTCCACCGCCGTCTGTGGCCCCTGCACAAGGCAGACTCAGCCAACCAGGGAGTGAGAGCATTTGGCCCGATTTCCGCCCCCCCCCCCCACCCGCCTTACCCAGGTGTAATGGGTGACCCATCCCCTGGGCACAGCCCCTCCCCCAGGGGAACCCCCACATCTGGACAGACACCCGGCAGATGTGGACACTGAAGCCTGCCCGGCGTCTCAGTGTTGCTGGGCAGGTGTCTTCTTGCAGGTGCCCAGGACCAGGCCTCAGGCACCGGGAGGACACCAGGCGGTGACTCAGCTGAGTCCCTCTGACACCGCCGCAAAGCAGGCTGCAGCCGCCAAGGAGCTGGACCTGCACACTCAGGCCCCACAGTGGAGTGGGGTTTGCACGCTCAGGCCCCACAGTGGAGTGGGGTTTGCACGCTCAGGCCCCACAGTGGAGTGGGGTTTGCACGCTCAGGCCCCACAGTGGAGTGGGGTTTGCACGCTCAGGCCCCACAGTGGAGTGGGGTTTGCACGCTCAGGCCCCACAGTGGAGTGGGGTTTGCACGCTCAGGCCCCACAGTGGAGTGGGGTTTGCACGCTCAGGCCCCACAGTGGAGTGGGGTTTGCACGCTCAGGCCCCACAGTGGAGTGGGGTTTGCACGCTCAGGCCCCACAGTGGAGTGGGGTTTGCACGCTCAGGCCCCACAGTGGAGTGGGGTTTGCACGCTCAGGCCCCACAGTGGAGTGGGGTTTGCACGCTCAGGCCCCACAGTGGAGTGGGGTTTGCACGCTCAGGCCCCACAGTGGAGTGGGGTTCAGTGGAGTGGAATTTGCACACTCAGGCCCCTCACAGTGGAGCAGGGTCTGCATACTCAGACCCCTCACAGTGGAGCAGGGTCTGCATACTCAGACCCCTCACAGTGGAGCAGGGTCTGCATACTCACGCCCCCCCGCAGTGGAGCGGGGTTTGCACACTCAGGCCCCTGCACACTCAGGCCCCTCACAGTGGAGCAGGGTCTGCACACTCACGCCCCCGCGGTGGAGCGGGGTTTGCACCCTGGGAGGAAGGGGCCCCGCCTGCACCCACAGAGGTTCACAGACATGAGTTCACCAGCTGGCATGTTGGCTGCGATGCCCCTCACAAATCTGGGGGAGCTCCCATGGCCGTGGCTGAACGGGGAACCTGGGTTCTGGTCGTTTACCAGCCCCCGGAGTGTCACTCCCGCTGCCACCCAGCAGGTAAGCAGTGACGACCCGCAGGCCACAGCCCCGTCTCCCGGGTGAGGGAGTGAGCCCACAGACACCCAGCAGCACCCCTCTTTGAAATCCTCCCCATGGGGCGCAGCACGGGGCTGTGCTAGCCTCCTGAGCTGACAGCCACGCAGTGGGGCCGGCACGCGGGACGCTGCCTCGGCGTGGTCTGCGGGGTCCCCCTCCCCAGCTCTCCCGAGTCCCCACGTCATGCTGTGGGAACCGTTCTGCCTGGCACAGCCCGGGAGCCGGCCCAGACCCACCCTTCCTGCCCCAGCTCAGCCTCCCGCCTTGAGCCCAGGCCATAACCTTCGGGGGCAAAGTCCCCGCTTTCTCCCTGGTTTTCACTTTCAGCCTCAGCACCAGGGAGGTGCCGGGAGGAGATCACGGGGAGCAGAGAGGACCAGTGTCTCTCCATCTGGTTCATCGCGTCTACAATGTGCGTCTTGTTAGAGAGAGAGCCGAGCCGTGCCACACCCGCCCGTCAGCTCCCAGAGGTCCCGGCCCTGACGCCCCA